GCAGAATATTTAATCCCCTTGGATCAGGCGCTTGGATTTTCCTAGATCATGCTGAGATAACAGCATTCTGCTGTGTTCTGGCACCATAAAATCCTTGCTTATGAAAATAAAAGAAAAATATGGCCTCTCTGGGAACATACATCTCTGAATTACTTTTTTCCATCGTTTAAATATTGTAGTCTCACAATCAATTTTTGCACAGATATACCACATTCTCTTTATGAGTCATGGCAAAAGCTCTCCCGCACCACTGTTTAAATGGGCCAAGCGCACATATAACCTTCAAAATGACCATCCCTTCGCAGCCCTGGCTCACGCTCCAGCTCACCCTGGGCAAGTGCCAACTGGAGTCAAACCCCCTCCAACAGCACCATCTAGTGAAAAAAATGATAAAATAAACACATGCAAATTTAAACAGTTTTCACTGCATTCTGGAAACTAACAAAAGGCCAATTCTCTCCTAATCTCCCTGCCTTTCGGTGTAGCTTTCATCAAGGCTCTTTGCCCTGTGAAGTGTGGTGACAAGTAGAGAAAGATTCAGCAGCTAATTGTAAGCTTTTTGTCTACAACTGGAACACCACTTGGAACACATATAAACTCTCCCTTGTTTATTTCTTCCAATGTTAAACTTGCATTTTTCTCATTGTTATGAAAAATAGAAGCATTTTTAAATGCTTTAAAATTACTGATAACATCTTCTCTTTCCTCCTCTGCTAGTGAAAGGTGAAGTTATAAAACAAGCAGCTTCAGAATAAAAAGGAAATTATACATACATATAATCTCAACAACCTTTTTAGCTCTTATTTTCATATAATGGTAATATCTTATTATTGAAGCCTGAAATTCTTGTTCATTAAAAAGGGCACAGCTTCCCCCTGTAACCTGAATGTGACCAGCCTCCCTGGTTTCACAAAGACTCTCCGCTGAAGTTCTGTAGGTGCTTAGATCTTTCACAGGGTCCGAGTAAAATGCTTTGGCTACACAGAGGAAATAAAGCAACATAGCTCTTAATTGTGAGTGTTTTCAAGGCCCTTGTTTGAATAGCTTTTCAGTCAGGAGGAACAGATTCTGTACTTTCCCAACGTGCACCAACGCCATGCAACTCCCAAGTGGGCTGCAGAAGAGATTCTGTAACAGCAGTAGTTTGCAGATAACACACACACGCTTTTACAGTTATTCCATCTTATTTTCAAGATGGATCAGATTTACAGTGCCCATGCAGTAAGCTCATCTCACCAGACGTGCCCCACGGGGCTGTTCAGCTCAGCACACCCACACGCTAACCCCGAGCACTCATTCCAGGCATTCAGCACGACACGGTCATTTCTTGCGTTTCCAGACCTATGGCTGCCTGGTCAAAGCCTCCCCCTCCCAAAGTACAACTACACAAATCTCAAGTAGGCAAAATTTCAAAGCGTAACACTGCATGTCTGGTACCACTATCTCAGCCTTAGATTTGATATTTAGAACTCTGCCCTACATAACAGACAATCCGCTCTTGACAAAGCTTCAGTAATTTTCCCCTTGGAATGCAGACAGGGAAAGGCGAACTCAATGCTATAATCTTCACAAGAAAGAGTCAAAGGTCTCTAAGTGTTACTTTAATTGTTTTCATCTCACAGAGCACACACTCGGGCAGTATAACTCGAGTTTCATGGAATGACTTGAGGCCTCATAAACCCCAAATTCCACCTCCTCACTGTCCCAGTTAACCCCAAGCAGAAAAGCCTTCTTCAAGACTCCCGTACTCCTGGCAGGTTGTTGCTACACTGCTGCTCCTTTGGGGTCTCCCTCACTCAGTGTTCGTTTGTAAATCAACTTGTTTGCCCTTCTTTGCTCACCTCCAAGAACAATGTTACCTACTTCACTGGCACCAAATTTAAACTTCCAAGAACAATGTTACCTACTTCACTGGCTTCAAATTAAAATGATTATTGTGGTAAAATGAAAAGTTCCTCTACAAACACAAAACAGAAATTAATTCCTAATGCAAAGCAGTAGCAAGAGTCCTCTCCTAAGCTTTAGTAAGTCTCCTGACGTCACCATCTGGGTTGGAGCTTGCACTGTGTTTTCTCCTGTTTTGTTTTTTTAAATCTCTGTATGCTGTTACACTTTCTTTTACTTCTTTGTTTGCACTTTACAGTTTCTCTTCAACTAGTCATCTGTGACTAACTCCTCCCTTACAAATTCAGCTACATCTCATTTTGACAGCTTGTAATGAAACATTACAGTGAAAGTAAAATTTTGACATAAGAACAGAATAGGAAATTTTACTGGGTAGACGCTAACAGGAACAAGATTCCAACATTTATATTTGTGTTGCAAGGTGCCACAACTCCTTTGAAAGTCCCACCAAAACTGGATGGAGCAGAGAGCACGCTGGCACACCTACTGCTGTGGACCGATGGATCACCATAATCCCCTTAAATTTCTTGAGAATTACCACAGTCAATCCTTGAAGAAAACAATCTCAGAATACGTCAGTACTGAACTGCTGAATTCCCAAGAAACTACAATAGTAGGATTTCAATGTTAAAAATTAACCATAGTTTTTCTCATGAAAAAGAGAGAAAGGAACAGTTCCTAGAACAGGAACACTGATTCACACTACGCAGAAAGCCCGATTATATAGAATTAATATGAAAACCCAATTTGTACTGGACATTACACACATTGTATGTAATCCTGGACACACTGCATACGTATTACACTGAACGTATTACATACGTACAGACAATACATACTGCATCCAGTATGATCACACAAAATGAGTTCCATGATTTCAGGGGCAGGGAGTGGAACATCACTGGTTACGTTGTCACCACAAGTTATTGCACTGAAACAACCCACCGTGTCCATGTAAAATACTATGATATACTGCAAAGATGAGTGAGATATTACCACAAGTGAAATTCATCATAGAAATTGGCAGAAGTATCCACAACTACTAGCTGTGGAATAAAAAAACAAAAAAAAACCCAAAAAAACCAAAAGCACGCTTGAATCTGTACAGAAAGAAAACCCCAAACCACAAAACTGAAAAGGTTCTGGATGCAGAAACACAGGTATAGACTCCCTTAGCTGGCAACTAATTATAACATTACACCTAAGAGTTCATGTATCTTACATATTAGTTAAAAATAATATATCAGGCATGAAGATACCTTGTTACTGATGCTAAATTTAATATACTACATTCTTATTCTTACAGTATTCATATTAGGTATAAACCCTTAACATATTGAATAGATAAACTGACAAAATGTATTCTAATTGATGGAGTTTTTAAGTGAACTTTCTAATGTTAATAACAATATTACTGGTGCACAGCTACAAGAACTATTTTGAACAAACATTTAAATTGCTAGTTCACACTTTCTCAATACAGTGACAGTGTTTTCATACGTAAAATAATGGTCATTTATTTACAAATCCAGAGAAATCTATGATTTAGCAGGGGGCACCCCACCACTGAGGTACAACAAATTTATACTTTTTTTTTGTAGGTTTAAAATCACGCCTCTCCAACTTCAAAACTAAGGCTCCTGAATGCAATCTAAGCTGGCAGGACGGTAATACTCTTGGAACACTCCTTGATACGTATCTGTTGCAGCACTAGTGTACTACAAACAAAAGGTAACTACGTTTTCTCCACTGAAGGGAAAGTGCATAAGACAGGTAGAGCAAGTTGTCTTAACTCTGAAATAAATGAAAATAGATGAGTTGTCCACTTGTGAAAGCAAGCTGGATCTGACATCAACTAAAAGACAAGACTTCCACTTAATTTTTTCTCCCTCTCTGGTCAGGTGTCTGGTCTTCAGTATGGCTGAAAAATGGATTAATCTGAGCAATACGAGGGATTCAATCTTAATTAGAAGAGCTTTATGTGCTGGACACAATATAGATGCTCTCAGTATAAGCCACATAGCGTAAGATGTGTTTTTTGTACTACCATGACTTGTGGTGTTTCTGTGGCTTTACAGACTCATTAGGGAAACACAGAAAAGCCTCCTGTCAATTAAGCTATAAGGAACTTTCTGCTTGATATGTTATTAGCTCAGGAGTTAGAATTTGCACATTAAGAACAAACATATATCAATCCCATTAACATCCACGTACATACCATCCAAAATAACGTCCCTGTAGCGAGAGCTGCATACTGCTCAATTGTAGAAAGCACGCTGAAGATAAGGCATACCAGCACAATAAGGAAGCTGTAAATTAAAAAAAAAATAAAAATAAAAATAATGTAACACAGTCTAGTAAGAACCTAGAGGGAGGAGGTATAATTATGCTGTTACAAATTATCTGTGCACACAGAAATGTCATCAGTGTCGGATAATGTTAAAACACAGCTGGCAACTTCTGAGTGATTCTGCTTCATGTTAGTTTATTTCTCTTCAAGCATTGAGTTTTTGGGTTGGACATTATCAGATGAAACCACACAATGACATTAGCTTTAGCCTACCTATAAGACTTGCTGTTTCCTAGCCCCTCAGGAAAAAAACATTCTTTGTTTTTTCCCCTTGTCAGGGCTACCACGGCTGAACCACCACCACACAACGCCCCTAACGTGGTTCAAGTATTTGCCTTTTTGCTGTCCCAAATTCTAACAAACTGCAGAGAGAAACCCCAGCTAAGCCAGAGCTTCACAGGCTCTGCCCACACTGTCTTTATAACCAAGCCCCAAAGGGCCCCAGATAAATACTAACTGACATTTGGCATCTGAAACACAACCTAGGACTGATTCCATTTTTAAATAAAACAAAATTGCAAAGCAACTATCAGAGAGAGTGGGAATATAAGGGCTTGTTCCCCAGTCCCCTCTGCCTAAGCGAGTCCTTAGGGAAGGGGGTCCTGGTTCCCACGGTGAGATTTGGGACAGCCAGGGAGCTGCAGCAAACTCAGCCCAACTGCCCGTAGCCCCCAGAAAGCCTCTGCCCCCAGCTGGGAAGCAAGGCTGCCCAGCTCTGCAGCCTTCAAACCCCTTCCCTGAGCAGCTTCAGCTGTGCCCACCACCCCGCAGGACTGCTAGGGTGAATCTTTTGAAAGCCCAAGCACTCAAGAAAACACAAACATGTCAGGGTTGACATTATAAGACAGATTGCCCCACGATCGCTTCAAAATACAGCATGTGTATGTCCAGTGCATACACAGTCAAATGATAGTGTAACTCATTACAAAATCATGGAGAGGAAGTTTGTGGGTAATTAGGTACAAAAATGAAATTAGTAAGAGATAACGAGCTGAAGTTAACAGGATAGAGATTGTCACATACTGACACACTCATGAGAATATACTTTTACCTAGGCAAAGCATAAACACGTGGGTGTTTCTGATTTATCTCTAAAATCTTCTCATTTTACCTTGGGACTCTAACGTTGGCTGTTCTCAAACAGAAGCAAGGTGTGCAGACAAGGTACGGGAACACAAAGATGAGCCAGTCATTTTAAACACAACAGAAATGCTCCCCAAGCGTCCAGCCCTTCGATCTGCAATGTTCCCACAAACGCTGAAGACCGACACACGTGATGACATGAACATAATTTTATCCAGAGAGGTAGCTAAGGGTCTCTGGATAAGTCCAACACACACAGAAGCACTAGTTCAAAGCAGGCAATGCACTGCAGGGGATGGTGTAAGCTGTTCGAATACCCTTTGAGCAGCAACGAGTAATACCTACTACATCCCTTCCCAGCAGCAGACCTGTCAAACCCACGACACCACGCGAGGGCACCAGAGCAGCGACTGTCGCACTGCGGTGCTTTCCTGAACAAACACCGCTGAGGAGACCCCAGCAAGGATGAAAGGTGGAAGTCTGAGTGCCCAGGCGACAGGAGGATAAACTTAGTAAACTGCTTGTCAAATCTCTCTGATTGTTACTATTAGAGAAAGCGAAGGCTGAGCTAAGAACCCCAGCAAGTGCCACTCAGCACTCACCTACTTTTACGGGTTTTCACGCACAAGGATCCGTTCCAGTCTTACGAAATTTTTTTTCACCCCCAGAAAAAAATCTTGAAATTTATTGTGCTCTTTCCTGAAGCATGAGACACCTTTGTACCCACAAATACACATTATCCCAAGTGAAACAAAGATGTTTGGTCAGATATTGCTGGTTCTCATCTGTTTCTTTGCACTAAAGAGGGGAGATGCCCCCAAGCCCCACCAGTACAGCTGTGCCCGCGGAGCACCACAGCTGAGCTACCAACCCTGTCACACTGGCACCACTATTCTGCTTCCGAGACCCGATCAACTGCACATAAGGAACAGAGGGTGCAAAATTAAGAGATTAAAAATATACTCAGCATCAGCCTGCTCTTCGTTTCCTTCCAACTCTCTGCTCCTACCCTGTTTTTGTTTAAGTACTAGTGGCTTCCTCCTCCACTTCTGAAGCTTGAGAAGGGAGTGAGCCATCAGGAAAATAGAAAACAGGAAAAGTTTGCCACTTCTTGTTCTTGTTTTTGACAGCTACCTCCCTCTCTTCAGCCAGAAGGGGAGCATACATTCTCAGTCACTGCCTACTTTCACTTGTTGACAGCAAACAAGCCCACAGCAGTTAGCCAGTTACCAACAACAGTAGCAAAGACAGACTCTGCCTCAAACTTGAAATTGCTCTATGCAAAAATCATCCTAGGGAAATTTAACTGCTGAGCCTCAGAAAGCTTCTACTACTCACACGAAAGCTGTGATTTTTTTTTTCCCAAGTATTCAGAAGTTAACTGAACTGTGAATTTTCACTGGGAAAATCAAAGGTACAACGCTGACAACAGAAGATGAAATTTCAAAGTCCCCAAAATAGTGTATTTTTTCAAAGTAAACCTTAAAATTTTCACATGCCCAAAATAACCTTATGACTCTTAATACCAATTTACTGTGATCACTATTAACACATTTTTCCAAAAAAGCGATCACCTTGATACAGACGCTAGGCATGTGACCTGTTCATCCAACCAGTTAATATCAGACAAACGAACGGGCGACTGAGACCATCCTTGCAATAAGAAGCATTAGACAAATTACCAGCAGACAGCTTGAACAGCTCTACCCTAATCAAACACATAATTCCAGATAGCTAAGGTAAGAGAGCTTTGTTTCAGACAAACTAAGCCTCACCTGCATGCCAACACTCTGTTGTCGGTGGATAGATACTGGACACCTTCAGGGAGCAAATTATATCCCATGTGAAACAAGTTACCATGAAAAAAACGTTATTTCAACTGTTGAGCGGGTGAAGGCTCTAAACATGGATATTCAAAGTAGGCAAACTGAATGTGGGCTATCCAGGGTACAGGCTGATCCCTGAACACTTACCAGGCTTCACAGAACAGCCATCTACTCTTCCAGCCAAGCTGCTTTACTGTAACCTAACAAGGGGAAAAGCACGTCACTTCGCCATCCTTATCTGTCTCACAGGAAAAAATGTAAAAATACCTTAGCTCCCACTTAATATCACTCAGGGACTTAAAGATGTAAGAGAGATGAACAGTTTAAGCAGTAAGATCAGCCACCATGAACACTTTGCTAAGCGTACAGTCCTGTGCTGATTTCGCCAGTTCTGTATGGGGTAGCAGAACCAACATTCACAATTGTATCTGCCCTACAAATCCAGTGTAACACCTGTTTCCTCTAAAGCACAGACAGCAGAACACTGGAATTTCTTTACATCTAAGCAGTCAGAAAAGACTTAGTCTCTTGGAAAACACAGATCTTTTATCTTCTGAAACCCATTGCTTTTTTACCCTCAATGCACAAATATGACCATCTTCAGGAAAGGAAGCAGAGCGATGAGGAGCTCAGGCTTTCATCAGCTCTGATCTAGCTCTTAGATAGTGGGGCCAAGCAAGCCTTAGAGATGAGGCGATAGTGTGTGAAGTCTTTCATATTGCCTGTCCCAGGTTACAAAGCAGCAGCTGCCTGCGTGTAGATAAATCACAGATACTGCACCAGTAGATGCACTCAGAAATACTCAGCTTTGTGGTTAACTCGCATCTAACAGCTCTGCGTTTCTGTCAACCCCAAGAACTTTGCAAGTGTCTGATCATCTCTTTACTTCTGGATGTGAAAGCGTGAACCCGCTATTAAAGCAGCGTGAACACTAACACAAAGCTGCAGATGTTTTATTTCATGGACTCTGCTTTCAGTAGACTATTACAAGACAATCCGTTTCCTCTCAGGCCGTCAGCACTGTTTTACTAAAGCCAGTTTCTGTGGTTGTCTTTTTGTCCTGGATTTGGCTGGGATAGGGTTAATTTTCACAAGAAGCTTGGAGAGGGCATAGCCAAGGTAGCTGACCCAAACTGGCAAAGGAGATATTCAATACCATACTGACTGCCATGCCCAGTATATAACTGGGGGAGCCAGCTGGGGGAGGAGGAATCAAGGCTCAGAAAGGGCTGGGCATCGGTTCTGAGCAGCGAGCAATTGCAATGTATATCACTTACTTTAAATATTTTTTTATTAGTATCATTGTTATTATTATTTCTTCTCTCTTTGTGTTGTCCTATTAAACTATCCTTGTCTCAGCCCACGAGATTTTACCTTTTTTCCTTCCAGTTCTCCTCATCCCACCAACGGGGTAGTGGAGTGAGTGAGCGGCTGCAGTGTCCTTATGCCAGCTGGGCCTGAACCACAACAGTTCTTTTTGGCTTCCAACATGGAGCAGGAAGGGTTGAGATAACAACAGATCTGACCAGAATGTCTTCAAACAAATTTGTTATACACATTTCTTATATTAGTTAAATAGTCACTAGTCACAGTGTTGGTTCATTTGTCCACATGGTGCTGTTACGTAAATACTTAGATGCACTATGTATTCCCTGCGGTGATGTTTATCACATCTGGGAGAGGGATCAGGACTATCATTGTGCTGTGCTGGGTAATGTCGAATTATTACATGATTACATCACTGGCCATGAGGTTAAGCTAGTATTTGTATGCAGCATTGCTGTCATGCCCATACCTTGGGCAGACGTGTGTACATGAGCAAACATATATAAGAAATAACAAAATTTGGCTTAGTCCACAAAATCAGCCAGACCATTTAGATACGCTGTCTCAAACAGGTTTGAGAAGTCAGAGCACCTCTAGGAAAGAATCATACAGCTGACAGGTAAACATGACCAGCTAGTATATGCACTATGTTTAGCAATATATAGGAAATACATAGGAATATATTAAGAGCTAAAAATAGATTTAATTGTTTCTGACTATTCCA